CTCTTCTTAGAAGTTCTTGCCATGGGTTAATCAGTCAGGCCAATTTGGAGGAGCTAGCTGGTTCTGCTTGTTGATGGATCCTCAGTGACTATAGCAAGCCTGACACTTAGCGAGTTCTCAATTAATACTTATAGAAGAAAAGAAGCAAGTACAAAACACCAGGGACTCCTAAGACTCTCAGAGAGGAATCTTTCCCAGGCCCCTCATTTCCTCCTCAGTTCTTGGAAATGGGGATGTGGCAGGATTTAGGATCCACCGCGCATGAACTTTCTTTCAGTAACCCTTGAATAGAGGCTAAGAGTAGCCATGCCGGGGAGCAGCTCCTATGGGAAGAAGAGAGCGTGAGCATGAAGGCACACGCCAGCACACTCATGCATGCCCTTCCTGCAACGCTGACTTGCTGAGAGGCTGGGTTTGGTCGGGGAGGGCTGGGGCACCAGGAAGCAGCACACACACACACACACACACACACACACAGTGCCCTTCCTCATGGGCTCTGAGCTGCCAGGGCACAGGTCCGTTTCCTGGAGCATGGGATCCAGAAGGAAGCGTCTCTACAAGGACATCCAATGTGACCAGGGGCCAACCCACAGATGTCATCAGCTGCCATCTCCATTCAAATTCTGCCCAGACTGGTAGATAAACAATAGATTTTTGCTCTCTTCTGGCAAATTCAAGAGACCAGCTACTGATCCAACCTCCCCTCAGTGCTGGAGAAGAAAAAACAGAGGCAGCTGGGTAGAGTCAAAGGCAAGTGAGCAGATTGACCTCCATGTGTAGAAGCCCCAAGGCAGCCAGCTTGCACACAGCAGCCAGGCTCGGGCAAAGGAGGACACCTCCTCCAGGTGTTCGGATCCCCGAGAAGGCTGAGGCTGCCTGCACCCCTCACCCTGCACGAAGATGGTCCCTCAGCTGTTTGCCCTGTCATTTGAACGACAAGGTCTCTGGATTGGCATGAACCTGTAGACCAGACTCCATGGGCAATTCTAAAAATAGAGACACAGAGAGGGACTCTATTGGAGAATAAAATGTGACTCATTCTCCTTGGATCATTCAGTGAGGCACTTAAAAAAAAAAGTCCTTGAAATTAAAGTCTGGTAAGTTTGGGAAGTTCCGCGCCCTCCAAGACAGGCTTGACAGATACAGAAGCCCATAGAGAGTATCAGCGGGTGTGCTAATGTTTTTGTTTTTCTCTTTCCTTAAATGGCTAACTCCCACAAGTAAGGAAATGGCTAACTCTTACAAGCAGGGAAAACAGCAAACGCCAAAAAACTTCTGATGACCATAAACTCTGGCCACTTTGGAGGCTCACCACCACAACTCGAAGGTCCTGAGTGCCCAGAAGAGCACTCACAGAAACCACTTCACAAGTGTCCCCTAACCCTTCTCGCATGTAGTCACTCACACCCCCATGCATGGCTAACCCCTCTGACACCTCACTTCGTGTCCCGTTAGCTTGGATGCTCTGCAAATATTCCCATCTACTCACATTAAGACCCTAACAAGAGGCTGCTCGGGAAAACGCTCGTCTTGGTTGGTCAGGAAAAGTGATGCAGGTAAAAATCTCCCAACTGTCAGCTTCCTTCAGACTACTCAGTGACACCAAGGCTGCATCCCGTGTCAACTTCTGCAGACTCCGACTGCTCTAGCAGCAGATTGTCGGGAGATTAAGGGGCCGCCGGGGGCCCTCTCCTCTCTTCTGCTATTCCTGCATAAAATCAATAAAATACATGTGCGTCCCTCCCACTCCCAAACACACACACACCCCTTCCATCTTTTTTCAAGGGCTGGGGCCAGAGCAGAAGAGGAGGGGCAGGCAGGATGGGAGAACCCCAGATCAATGGATATTTGAAACTCAAACACATGGCCCGGGACCCACACTGCACGTGTTAATTACCACACATGTGCCCATAAAGGGTCCGTTAAACACAGGGGCCCGAAGAACAGAGCGAGGGAAGGACATTCCAAGGGATTAAGTGAATAGTCTGAAGTTCTGACCCTCCTCCCCTCAGAGCACGGGCATCTGGGTAAGATAACAGCGCCTCCCTCCCCCCCCCCCCACTTCTCCCCTCGGGCCCACACCTGTGGATCCAGGAGCAGCGGCCCAGGCCTCCATCTGAGACCCAGCGGCTGTGACCTGCCACCTCCCGCCTCTCCCCCTCCCTTTCTCCACTATCTCTCCAGCCTCCTCTCCAGCCCCCTCCCGCCCTGACTTTCTCCGCCTCTCCTTGGAGGGCCGACTCCTGGCTGGCAACCAGAGTCTCCATCTCACAATGGGCCTTTTCATTCTTTCCAGGCAGTGAGAACCGATCCCTCCAAGCCCCGTCGGCAGAACGCGTTCCAAAAGGCCAGAGGGTGGGGAAAGCAAGTGCTGGGTGCGCAGACCCTGCCCCTCACAACACCGGACCTCGGGCCTCCCCTCCTCCTAGCCACAGCCCTCACCCTGCTGCCCAGGGGCTCTGGCGGCCCAGCACGGCTCTGTGCACAGGGCCGCGGGCGCTGGCTCCAGAAAGATGTCTTCTAGGAGACCCCACGTGTGGCACAAGCTCAGACAAGGAGGCTTTGTGTCTTCCCACCTGCTGCCCTCCGGAGCACATTCCATTCTTAAGTGGCAGCTGAAAGAGGGACCTCAGCAGACCGACACAGGATATTACAAATGCCCTCTCACACCCTGCTCCCATTCAAACCCCAGCTTCCTGGACAGGTGTGACTTCAGGTGGCCCTTCCTACAGGTGGCCTGAACCTGCTGCGCACTGCACTGCCCAGGCAGACAAAGAAACAAGGCTGAGCCCCGATCCTGACCTTCCAAGTACAGGGAAAGAGCAGCCACCCACAGAGGTCAAGACTCCTGGCACGTGAGTCCTGGCACCAGCACCTCTGGCCTCTCACCAAAGAGGAGCCTCTGTAGAACCATCTGGGAGAGGGGAGCCCATCTGGGGAAGGAGCGCGAAGAGCTGGGAACTTGTCTCAGAGAGGAGGCTTTAGTCTCTCCCTTCCCCATTTCGGCCCCATCCTTGAGGAAATCAAGCCCCCCTCTTCCAGATGGAGTCAAGAGAGCAAGAGAGGGACCACAGCTCGTTTCTTAATGCAGAGCCCCTCGGGTGGGGTGCAGCTGTCCACGCGGTGTAGCGACCGCATCCCACGGCCAGCCGCTTTCTTGGCGGTCGCTTTATTCAGCACCGTGCTCTCCTTGGGTGGGGAACCTCTGTGTGGTCAGTTTTGCACGACTGCCATTCTCTTGTCTCCCACCAGGACCTCATGTCGAGGACCAGCGGAGATGTTCCTGAAGGCTGCCGGTGCAGCGAGCAGGACCGAAGGCGCTCCTCTTCCAGCCCCAGGCCACTGGAGCAGACACACACTGTCCCAGCGCTGACAACTCCAGGTCTTTGCAGAAGGAAACATGTGTGCCCCGGTCCCCCTTTCCCACCAAGGAAGAACTCACACTCATGGCCATGTCTCCCTGTTTGGGAACGGACCTGGAAAGACTGCTCCCAGTCCCCACTTACTTATTCCTGCTCACGGGAAGGAGCCGTCCAGCTGGCCCACGGGCCCAGGTTCCTAGCGACTGGGCCATAGCAGAGCCACACTCCACTTGCAGGTCTTCTTGGAGCGCCTGCAGCAGGGCTCCCGACGCTCACCTCCTGCATTCAGGCCGTGTGCCTTCGCCTCCTCTCTCCATCCTGGAGAACAGCCCCAGGAGCAGGGCCTTGGGCTCCCTGGGGCTCCCTGGGGCTGTGTGTAAGACAAGCCTGTACACCTGGCCCTCGCTCTCCAGGTGGACTCCACGCTCCCGCTGAGTGTCCAGCCCCCAAGACCAGCTTCTGCCATTCTCCTCCTTGCCTGTGGAGAGCTAAGTCCTGGCCGGGAGCCAGTCTCCCTCATCTTATAATACTCAAGCCCAGCCAGGGACCCCTGTCTGGGTTTAAGTGGAGAATCGAAAACGGGGGTTCTGGAGTGCTTGCACACACAAGTTGATAACAATTACCAAGCGATCAATGCTCTGCGTATGTCCTGGAGCAGAGAGGCAGTGGCTCTCAGTGTCTTCACACTGGGGGTCACAGCCAGTGGGGCCAGGCCTAGTCCTCATCTTGGCAGGTCCACTCAGACAAGACCTTAATTAGAACCAATTACTATGAGGCTGACCTACATAATTTGCAGGGTTCAGCATGACATGAAAATGCAAGGTCCTTTGTTCAAAAAGTGTGTGGTGGTGGTCGGGGGGGGACATTCAAAGGCACTAACATATAAAGTGTTCCCCTCTATTTCAAAATCTCTCTCTTTGTCATGATGCTTTTGAATTTGCGATTTAATGTTCTGGGTAAAGAAAAATCAAAATTTGAAGTGCACTTCAGAAACCCATGCAGGCACCACAAAGACAATAAAGCTTAGAGTCTTCCACACTGATAGATGGTCCCAGGAGTGGGCAGTGGACACACGTGTACATGGACTTTGTCTGCTCCTGCACGGGTCTTGTCATCCCGTGAACTTCACTTACAAAATACAAGTTTAAAGGCAAAAAAAAAAAAGTATTTCAAGACCACTGCAGAGGTCGCAAGCCCACGGAGCCAGCCTTCGTGTAAGTGAAGAGATCTGGATGTGCTGGAACAATAGCTCAGAACTCAAGGAGGAAAAACCTGCTCAAAGGGGCTTCTAAAATAGAGCCAGCACAGACTTGCTCACCTCCCGTCACCACAATTTCTGATTCATCTTAGCCACTCACATAGCTCACATAGTTGAGCAATGGATCTCCACAGGGAAGGAAGAATTGCGGGGTCCCCACCAGTTCTGTGGATTGCTCTTGCTCACCAAAATTCTGGTGTCCACCTCTATACAAGCCTAACCCCCTCCAGTGCTTCTTGGAGAAACACTAACTAAAAATGGAGAGTTTCTGCAGGCAAGGCACTAGCTTTCACCCTAGGCTCTCTCCATCTTGCCTAAGAATTCCTGCTTGGGCTGGCTTTCAGAGCAAACATTTGGATAAAGCATAAAACTCTACTCACCTTTCCTGCCTGAGTTACTCTGGCTCAAGGGCTTGTCGGTGACTGAACCTTGGGTATGAGAGGAGACAAAAACACAGACATTCAGGAAGCATCCCAGTTGGTTTCTTTCAAAGGGTTGGCACAGCCTGATGTTACGTGCATCTGGAGCTATTTGTATATACACACCTACATGCACATGCATTCATAATAGTACACACATCTAAGAGCATTATATACAAACTGAATACATACATACAAGTCCAGTGGGGTTGTTTAACATCAATGGCACTGATATCACAGCACCCATTGAGTTGAACCATGACTTCCAGTCATGAGCAACAGTCATGAGCCGATTTCACAAAGTTCTACATCCCTATGCCATTCCAATAACTGCCTCTCACTTCTACTTCCATTACCTCTACTTCCCACTGTCTCCATGTTCTGAGCCATTTCCCATCAGTGGACCAACAGAAAAGAATCCCCTGTTACTGCAAGTGCAATGATTGACATCCCTTGCTGGTTATGGCAGGAAATCGGCAATTTTCCATCTGCATTAAGTAGAAAATTGTTGGCCCAATTGTACTGAATGGGCCAAAATAGTCTGAAGCATGGAAACAATTTTCTAGATGAGCCTGTTCCTCCAGGAGAGGATAGTGGTGGATTGGGCCAAAAGCTTTGCCCTGTTATGTTGGGATGCTCTGTGTTCCTATCTGATCACCCGAACCCCATGACACCTGTCCACTCTGTGAAACCCAACCCCACGCAGGCAGGGTAGGGCCAGCTGGTCCATGAAAGGGCGTCTGTGGCACTCCCACCAGCAAAAGAAAAGAAAGAATCCAAATTTCCCTAATTTATAGGACACCCCTTTTCTATAGACTAGTTCTGTGATAATTCAATTATATTCCCCCTCATGACTTACTCCTAGTGCATTTGTTTGCTTTAAATGAAACTTTCCAGGTCATCTGCAAGGAGAGCTTATTTCTGCCCCTCCCCACACAAACCCAATTAAGGTTTCCAGTTTCCATGTAAACCACAAATAAAGTAAACTTTCCTTGTTGGCCTGCAAATCTTGGTTTCCTAATGTAGAAACTGACTTCCCTTCCTACCAACGTTTCCCTTAATATAGAAGGGCCAATAGAAAAGGGAATAAAATTTTGTTGAAAGAGAGAGGAAGAAGAGAAAGGGAAAAGGGTAGAAAAAAACAGAAAAGTTGGACTACGAGTCTTTGGAATTTCCCACTGGCTTTAGAAGAATGTTTTATATTTTGCTTGCACTTAAAAATCCAAAATAAATTAAAAAAATAAAACTTCTTTACATAGATTCGGAGAAATATTAAGTAAATGGTGGGTGGGATAGAATTTTTTGAATGAGGACTGAACCACATGTTGAATTAAAGGAATGTTACCCAAGTCCTTTACCATCTACATGGAAATGGAGACTGTAAGACTTATGAAAACCCATAATTCACAATTCCTTGGGGTTGGCAAAATTTCTCTCTGTTTATAAAGCTGAAAGTAGAAGAGATTCAATTTTTTGCTATGGAGTGGTGCAGTGCGTCACTCTGAAGCAGGAGTTTCCTGACTTATCTAATCATTAGAACCATCTGAGAAGCTTCTTAAACATGTGGATTCCAGGTCTCACTTCAGACCAAGTGGACCATAATATGAGAAGGAGTCTCAACACCTCAGGTTTTTCAAATTTCCCAAGCACTGGTGATGATCAGCCATATTTAAGGGTCACTATTATGAAGGACAGACATCACTAATTGACCATCACAGTCTTGGATGATAGACTCCACAAAACCAATCTCTATAAAGTACTCCCAGCAACCAGACCACACAAGCTAGAAACTTTTATGCCATGTTTGTTCTAGGGGTTATAGCCCAAGGTTGGAAGGAGAGAATTGAACCAGGAACCTACACTCAAAATAAATAAATCTGTGCACATAGGCATATACTGATACTATCACTCAACTGACTATAGAGAAGACATGAAATCCTCCTGACCTGGAAGAGGGTTCATAACTACCACCCAAGACTACCACCAGTCTTTCAAAGGCTCCCCCACAAGATGCAGGAGACCAGCCAAGGGGTCTCCCTCCAACCCTTGTCTCTCTTCCCGCCCCTCCCCACGGTACCTGAACATACAGGAGTTTTATTCTGCACAGAAGAACCACTGATGGGCTTCCCATCTGGGGTGACACACCAGCAGTACCCTGTGTAAGTGTGGCACTGCACCTGTTCAGGGAAGAGGGAAGGGGGGAGAGAATCGTCAGTCTTGGGTCACAGCAGCAATATCATCTTCCCTCTTTCAGAGCATGACCAGTATGGCCAGTGAGCGCCTTCCACCCCTGGCTTCCCAGCATCTTCTCTCTGTCCCTGGGGGTCTCTTGCAGGGAGTCAGTCAGTCAACAGCAATGATTCTGTGTGTTCTATATGACTCCCCTGCACAACCACCATGACTTATGTACATACTTCTTATTGTTTTTAGCACTTCAGAGCTTACATTATACTTAAATGTGCTTTCTGGGTTTTTCCCTCTCACCAGTACATTTCCCCCCAATCACCGGCACACACTCCCATCAACTGTAAAAAAAAAAAACTCTGATTGGTGAACTGGCACATTAGAATGTCACCACTGCACGTTGATAGGTTCCTTCTTTAAAAGTAGAGGCAAGTGACAAGCTTATCTTCTCCCTCCAGCTTTTCTGTTTATGTTGGCCATGTGGCGCTCCTGAAGCAAGGGTGCAGGTGATGGGGTAAGGTAAGAAAAAGGCCCCTGGAGGCCCCACTGCACCACTGTGTGATTTTTCCTCCAGCCTCCATGAGCAGGTCCTGTCTGGGGACACTCGATGAAATAGGACTTCTGTTCCTTTCAGAAAGACCTGTCTTTCTCTCCCAACAACTGCCACTCTGCCCACCCCTTCCCACCATCCTCTCCCTGTGCTGTCTGCACAGGGTTCTAGCCACAAGCAGGGCCATCAGTCTCCCACTCCAGACTATGCCATGATTCACCACTGGACTCAGGATAGAGAGAAGCCTCGTGTGTGTAACATTCAGGTGTTCCATACTCTGCCACCTGGCTCTCTCTGCAGCCTCAGTGTGCACCCACAGCCTCAGTGTGCTCCACACACACCCTTCAGTCCAGCACAACGAAGGGTGACAGACACAGCCACTTTTCATGATTCTAAGCCACTGTTCTCTCCAACCCTTCAGTCTGTCGAAATACCAGCCTTAGCCATCCCTGACCCACCCTTAACACTCCCTGCATTCTCATCTCAACTCTCCATGTGTCCCAAACTTACTATCTCCTTTTCCTCCTTCCTTTCTCTCTCCACACACCGGTGCCCCAAAATTCTGAACCCTCAAGCTATAACTATTGATCTCTCAGGTACATGTCTCTCCTAGCCTTTCAGTTTCCTAAAGACTCCACACTGGTTATTGGATACTCCAAGCGTCTAGCATAATGTCAGAAGTCTACTTGGTCAACTAAATAAATACACGGATTATTTTATTTCCTTAATTCTTAGTCTTCATCAATTCTAAAAATGCAACTGCAATGGAAACAATCCCACCACCTTAAATGTAGATCTCAATGGCAAGGTGTGTGTCAATCACAAAGATATTAAGATGGGAGGAGGGGAGTGTGCTCTTGGGATCAAGGACATCTTGGAGTTGAGGAAAGTTGGTAATCGCATACAAACTTGTGATGGGCATACAAGAGAGCTCTGGTCGCCTGGGTGAAATTCAGGCATGATTAATAAGGCAGAAAGAAGGGCTCCTTGGTGGCACAGAGGTTAAAGACACAGCACTATTAAACTATCAGCAGCCGGCCCTCCCTGGTGGCGCAGCGGGTTAAAGCACTGCACTGAGAAGCTAAAGCCACTTCCGCATGAGTTCGATTCCTGCCTGCCCCGGAGGAGACCACATGGCGTGGCAGACCTCTCCTGACCCGCCCACTGCTCCCCTCAGCAGTATACTTCGTTGATCTGCCTGTTCTGCTCCCCACTCTGTCTCTGGTGAAGTCTCTCACTGCCCCTAAGTCTCTGGCCTGTACCCCAGTTCTGTATGTACAAATAAATAAATCTAAAAAAAAAACTATCAGCAGCCACTGATATCAGCACGAGCTCCATCCCCAGCCAGGGAGGTGACCCACATGGTGCAGCAGCCCTCCTGTCTCACCTGCTCCCCTCAGCAGTGGTCTGCCTGTTCTGCTCCCCACTGTCTCTGGTGAGTGCTCTCACTCCCTTGCATCTCTGGCCTACATCCCACTTCTTGTATGCATAAATAAATAAATCTTTAAAAAAATAAATAAGGCAGAAAGGTTAAAGAAAGGCTGCTGCTCTTGAGTACATACCAAGCACTATGGCTTTCCCCCAAATAAATTCAATGAGGACCTACTTGCAGAAATCAGAGAAGGAGAGGAACAGCATCTTGTCCTAGGCAGTATGACTGTAGATAGGCAAGGCATGTGCCTGGACTGTCCAGGCACAGAGAGCATTTTTCAGTGCCTTTGGCCTACCGCCATATTCTACCCCGCATCTCATGGAGACAATCCATAAACCCCATGGACATGACTGCTACCCCAGAAAGCTCATTCAAAATCAGCCCCTGGGCTGAGTCAGTGTTGATGCTGAAAAAGTCTAAAGGTGGAACAGAAAGAAACCCAGACAGACCTGGGTTTGAGTCCAGCAATGATCGAAGCAAGTTCATTACTTAGCTCCTGGAGCTCCATCTATAAAATGGAGCTAATAATGCCATGCCTGGGGGCTCTGGCAAGGAAACAGCTAGCGTGAGCCAGAGCCTGGTGTGGGGCGATGGCCGGATACAGGGTGGCTGTGATGATGGCTGCTCACAGGGTGTGAGAAACACCTGGCGGGCTGGCCTTCTCTTGGGCCCGAGCGCCCCAAAAGCCCCAGAGGCCCAGGTGGAAACACGGCTTTGGAGTTTGCCTCTCTGATTCTGCCGGCTTTGTAGGGGAGCATTCCTAGAGACATTCCTCACCAGTGCCAGCATTTAACGGGGCCTGGCTAGTCATTCCTCCTCCTTGGCCAATAATCACTCTGGGGAACCTGTCCCTGGGGCTGACTCACACCCAGGCCCCTGGACTCCCTCAGACAAGGCCGGCCTCTCCTTACCCTGAGGACTCCACCCCCCCTCCCCCAGGTCTAGAACCCCAGACTGTGCCTCCAGCCCAATGCTGTCTGCCAAGGCCAGGTGCTACGATCCAAGAGGCCACCCTGGACTGAAAGTCCCCTCTTCTGGTCAAGCGGATCCCAGCCAAGGCTACTGGGGACAGAGCTAAACACGAGTAAGAAGATAAGCCCAGAGCTTTGTGTCAGGGATATAATCTTTCCGCCACTCAGCAGGGCGAGGGCAGCATGCTCACTGAGAGGGCCCTTTGTGACCCCTACGCATGGACACTGCCTTCAACCCCAGCCGGGCCACAGCCCCTTGCTCCCCAGGGCCCTCAGCATTTCCCTCCATCAGGCTGCACAAAATAGACTCCGATTCCAGATTTCAAAATGCTCGGGCTAAAAGTTACTTCCAAGCCCTTTTGAGTTTTACAACTGGACTCAAGAGAGAAACCATTGTAGATTCCTCTGAGGTCTGGGGTACACAGACATGGACACACCTGCCTCAGGTGGGCTACAGAGGAGAGGGCTTCGGTGAACAAAAGAGGGCAAAGAGGGTCCAAGCAGGGTCTCCAGCTCAGGGACACGCATGTGATTAAGATCACGTCCCCTCACTGCAGGGACCCTTTGTGGATCAGCCCGTGAGTCTCCACTCAGGGGGAGATAGTACGTGTCTTGGGGGGTTTTCACAACGGATTCTTGAAGAAACACAACAAGGAGACACAAAGAGGTTGCCATGGAGACAGCCTGCACCCACCTTCCTTACCTAGCCAGTGCCGCCATTTAAGTTAACCACTTCCCACCTACGGAGCCCAAACCAAGACGGAGTCTACTCACTTCTTTTCCCCAAGGAACGATGATAACACCCACCTCACCTGGTTGCTGGAGGGATTAAATTAGATAATGTAAATAAAGCAGTTAACCCCTATGGTGAGTGTCCAATGAAGCTTGGCTATTTTTCCACTGTCTGATTTTTCAGCAACCTATCTGCACACTCAGAAAGGGCACAGACAGCCTCTCTGGTGGAAACGAAAGTACATTCTGTTCTCACCAGCCCCAGGGGAAGGGGCAGCCAGTCTAAAGTGAGCAAAAGGTTTGAAAAAGTTTGATGGGAGGAGAAGGGGGAGGTTGGTTTTCATAGAGCAACAGCTCTATCACTCTTAGGGCTGCGGGGGTGTGGGGAATGTGGGAAAAGATAAGGCTTCTTGCAGAAAGCTACAGGATGTAAGTTCTACAGAACTTATATAGATGGTTTATACATACATGAGCAAGAGGAAAATGCTACAGCTTTACCTTGCTCCCTTGCAAAGTAATTTGTTCTTTTAAAAGAATTAGTGGGCCCTCCGTGGTGGCACAGCGGGTTAAAGCACAGCACTGAGAATCTAAAGCCGCTTCTGCATGAGTTCGATTCCCACCTGCCCGGGAGGTGACCACATGGCGCGGCAGACCTCTCCTGACCCGCCCGCTGCTCCCCTCAGCAGTGTACT